GGTGTCATCAGTCCATCCCCGACACTCCGATCATTACGGGTGAGGTCGACTGGGAGACACACCACCGAGGCCAGGGAATGACCGGGAGGGGCGTATATGATTGGGTGGACTTTCATTCCCAGTTTGGAAATGTTTGGGTCGAACGACACCAAAATGTCCTCCCAGATGAGCGTGTGGAGTCATTCGTACAGCCTGGCGAGGGCTACCTTGATTGGTTTCACAGCAGGACTGTGAGACTAATCAGTGACCCTGCTAAGTACCCGGTGGTACAACAAGACGGAGGCTATCAGCCACTTGCCGAGTATTGGAAGTGCGATGTAAGTGTATAATTTGTGTGTGTGTGTGTTTTTTTTTTCTATTATTATTTTATTTTTTGCGTTTCATAAAAATTACTTTGAATTAAATTTTCAGGCTAGCGGCATGGAGGGGGCTTATAACGTGCTATCCAATGTTGAGCATCTATATCATACAGCCCATCCGGAGATGCAGGCGGCAATCCAATATGCCAAGAGCCTTCTCTACACATCTCTGACTGTCGGAGGCGGAGAGATCGGTCAAGGGACGTCGTCAACCCAAGTTTTATCACAAGAGAGCTACGTCCAACCCCAGAGGACGCAGTCACACCGAGCGAGGCATCAACCTCCTCCCCATATTCGTGGAGGTAGAAGACGACGTCACCGCGAACCAGTTGCCGACGACGGGCCTGAGGATCAACAAGAACAAGGTAAACATCTTTTAGTTAACAAAAATATAATTTTATTTTTGTTTTGTGATTTTTTGTTAAGTCAAATTTCTGATTTCTTAAAAAACTGAATTACTCAGCTGTAGAAGAAGAAGAACAACCTACCACGCCCACAGCATCGTCTTCTGCACAACCACCACAGCGTCGGATTAGCAACCGACCGCGCAACCCTACGATTCGATACACTCCTAGTTAGTTGTGTTGTATTCGGAGACATTTTGTAGACATATATATTTATTTTTTTCTTTCGTGGATTTATGTGTAATGATATTTGAACTTGTTTGGATTTTTATATTTGGAAAGTGAATTATTGTGCTTCATTATTGTTTCTTTGACATGGTTGATATGGGATTTCTGAATTTATATTTGGTTGTGGAATCGATCTCGATTAACAGGTGTGTGTTTGTAATTTTGTATTTGTGAGTTGCTGAATTTGCACAGTAAAACGTATTTTGAAAATACGTTTTTCTGCTGTGAAAAATTAGGGCAAAATTGATTTGGGGCGAAATCAATTTGGGGCAAAATTAGGTTAAAAAACGTATTTCGAAAATACGTTTTCGTACTGTGTAAAATTAGGTCAAAATCGATTTGGGGATAAAATTAGGGCGAAATCAATTTGGGGCAAATTTGGTTAAAAACGTATTTTGAGAATACGTTTTATTTTTCCAAATATTATTTTTTAAAAAAATAAATTTTTTAAAATTAAAAATATTAATTTTAAATATTTTTCCGAAAAACGTATTTCGGTAATACATTTTTAACCTATTTTAATTATTTTAATTACGTTAATTACCTTAATTAATTTTTTTTAAAGAACACGTATTCTTAGAATACGTTTTTCTTTAAAAACGTATTTTCAAAATACGTTTTTATTGAAAAAACGTATTTTGAGAATACGTGGTTTTGATTTTTTTCCACTTCTTTTATTTTTTTTTATTTATGTCCACTTAATTTTTTTTATTTTTATATAAATAAATAAATCAGTAAATGAGTATGAACTGGTTTGAATAAATATCTAGCTATATCATTAGGGTGCTGTGTTGGAAATAAAATTCAATTCTATTTTATTTATCCATTTTACTTTATTTTCTTCCTTCATTCACATTTTTTACAACTTTTTAAATTAAAAATCAATATTGCTACACGTTGAACTATAAATTTAATATTCATACACTGGTATAATCATAATTACCACATATTATTTTACTATTTCTCTATTTCATCACAATTAATTATATTGTTAATCAGTTAGTGGTTTTAGAAGACATCCATAACATTTTTATGTACATGTGGACTTTATTTGCAAAAGATGTGCATATTATGTGCAATGAGTGAAACTGTAATTTGAGTACGAGTTGAACCAGATACCGCATTTGTACTATCCGTTTAACAAACAAACAAAAGACTTAACTCATGTAAGTCTGGTTTAACGTGGTTCATTTAATAAAATCAAAACTCTAAACGAGTTGGTCGCGAATAAGTTTGACTTGATTGTTTCACTTATTATTCATAAAAGAACTAAATTGTTTGTGAACAATTTTGGCTCGACTTATATAAAAGATAAGCTCATAGTAGATTTTTGAGTTCGTCACATTTAAATATATGAACCACCCATCCTCAAACTTTTAATAGCTCTAGCTACAATTATGCATTGTATGGAAGAATATGTGAACGAGTTAAACAAGTTTTCATCTTTTGCAGGAGATGAAAAAGTGATGTGTGGTGCAAAGAATTATATAGGAGAAAACGAGCGACAAATTATTATATCACGAATATGATTTTGAACGAAAAGTTTATAATTAGGTTGGTTCCAATAAGAAAACATTCCTAATGTGAAAATAAGAAATAATTTGAGTTAGGATTAAAGGAATAGGATGACTATGGTTTACTATAATTTGGGGGAGGCAGATATTATTCTATGAAATAAAGAAATAAGAATACATCGTAGTCATCAGATTAGATCCAATGGTAACAAAAAAAATCCAACATTTATATATATATTAAGAGTATTTTGGATATTTTCCTTATCAAACTAAGGGACGGATCCAGAAATTTATTTTGAGGGGGCCAAGATATTTTTAACAATTATATATTTGGATTAATGTACATAAAAAATAGAAAATTGTATTATAAAATTATATATAATAATAGTGCAGTATGAATTATAAAGTTTCAAACATTGACAATAACAAATTTAGATTGAACGCTCTCTCAACTCATGTATTTCATTAATGATGGACCAATACTAATAGTTTTGATATTTTTTCTTTCCATTAAGCATATCTTATATGGACTTCTTTTTCAAGAATTACCAATTTTTGTGTTTTCACATAATTTTCATAATTCAATTTATTTAAATTAGAAAAAATGTTATACAAAAGTGTAAAAAAGTGTAATTTGTAATTGAATTATTAGTAGAAAGAGTAATACAATTATTATTGTAATATAATTATATAAGTTTATGTGAAAAATAATATACTATCTCATAT